GTATCTTTGCTACATCTTCTGGCATTTTAAATAAAGAAAGATAGTATACCGATAAACTATTCAGCATAGCTTTAATCAATGTAACTCTACCACCATATGAGAGAAGCTTTCTTTTCCATGATGCTAACTTAAGTTTGAACTTTTCAATCACTGGCTTCCAAGTAGAAAATCTACTAGGACTTGCCCCCAAAGGTAATCCTAAGTATGTGAAAGGAAGTTTTTGACTCATGCATCTTAGAATATCAGCAAAGTCTTTCACTACACTGTCTTCCACACCCATCCCACAAACACGACTTTTATGGAAATTAATTTTGAGCCTAGACATTAACTCAAAACACCATAGAATTCTTTTAATTGTTAGGATCTCACCCCTGTCAGCTTCACAAAATATCACCGTGTCGTCAGCAAACTGTAAGTATGATAAACCCTCCTCTCTAGCTCCTATCTTCACACCTCTGATTAAGCCCAGATTCCTGGCTCTGCTCATTAAAATATTCAATGCCTCAGCCACAACAATAAAGAGAAAATGGAACAGTGGGTCGCCCTAACGAAGCCCTTTTTCAGGATAGAATTCATTCGTTGGCGACCCATTCACCAACACTGATATTCTTGCCGATGCAACACACTCCTTAATCCACCCAACGAACCGAGAACCGAATCCGAAATTTTGCAACATCTGCAATAAAAATTCCCAATTTACGGAATCGTACGCCTTTTGGAAATCAAGTTTTAGTATGACCCCTTGCTTATGACTCCTTTTCCACCAGTCAACGAATTCATTGGCTATCATGACCCCATCCAAGATGTTCCTACCCTTCAGAAATGCTGATTGTACATTGCTAACCACCCTAGGCAGGACTTTCTTCATTCTATTTGCAAGCATCTTGATGAGAATTTTATACATCGACCCAATCAAACTAATTGGTCGATAATCCAGTAAGGTAACGGGGTAGTCCTTCTTTGGAATTAGAGTAATAAAAGAACTGGAAATACCTTTTGCTAATTTTGCATGACGATGGAAGTCCTTAAAAAACTACATAATGTCTGACTTAAATATCTTCCAACATTTTTTAAAACAAACCATGTCGAATCCATCTAGACCCGGCGCTTTATTGCCTTCGCACTCCTTGATAGCACTCCAAACTTCAAAGTGAAATTTTTGCTCAAACTAGAAGGACTAATAATGTAATTTACACAATTAGTGTCATGACCCGAACCCGCCCCTATAGGTTAGGATCATAACCGGCCAGTAATCATTAGATTACCTACGGCCTCAGATAGAAAATACGTTTTTAAATAAACATATGGGGCCAAAAGCAGAAACAGACTTAAAATTTTTGTCCAATGAGCTGTGCTTACATGATAAAGCGAAACATTTCATAAACAGTCCATAATAACTCACACATAAAAACAGAGTTAATATCTTATACATCCAGGAACTTCAAGACATGTATGTAGTTAGCCAAACAAAAAAAACTTATATGCATAGATGATCCAACGTATTCACCGATAAAGCAAAAGTGTAAACACAAGAACAAAAATAAGGTCTCGTGCGTGAGACGTGCGGGCTGACTCCGCAAAACTTGACTTCCTCTCATATCTTTCACTGAGGTTGGGTTTGGACATCTCTTTGCTCACCTCTTTGCTCACCTACACACATATAAATGAGAGTGAGCGATAGCCTAGTGAATAATATCAAAATAAAGAATTTATATGAATGAAATTCGTAACAGACATATCTAACGGCCTTACGCCCATTCACGTTTTTATTTAATACATCAAACGGCCTCAGACCCAAACATATCAAACGGCTTTTGGTTTAATCATTTATGTCAGACGGCCTTTGGCCCAATCATTCATGTCAGACGGCCTTTAGCCCAATCATTCATGTCAGGCGGCCCTTGGCCCAATTATTCATGTCCGACTATCATTCATGTCAGACGGCCTTTGGCCCAATCATTCATGTCAGACGGCCCTTAGTCCAATTATTCATGTCAGACTATCATTCATGTCAGACGGCCTTTGGCCCAATCATTCATGTTAGACGGCCCTTGGCCCAATTATTCGTGTCAGACTATCATTCATGTCAAACGGCCTTTGGCTCAATCATTCATGTCAGACGGCCCTTGGCCCAATTATTCATGTCAGACTATCATTCATGTTAAACGGCCTTTGGCCCAATTATTCATGTCAGACGGATTTATGTGTGTTTCATACTCATGATCATGATCATATTCATATTCACTTAGTCTTAAGCAAAAGACTGACATTTAGAATACTCATTCTTAATTCAAACATACAAATCCATAAGGCATGTACAGAAGTAACGTTTGGGAAAACAACATACTGGAACATATCCTTACTAAGATATTACTCACAGTGTTCTACCGGTGGATTCGTCCTTATGCTCGACCCTACACAATTCATAACACATATTGGGTCACAAACAATTCAATCCGTTCTTTAATCTATTTATTTCTCTTAAGCTTCTTTCTTTACCCTTTAGGTCATTTACAAAGCTCAATGTATTCCTAAGAGTGCTTAGAAATGAAAGAGAACGGAAAACAAAAAACAAAACCGTTTTTCATAATTTCAGGAACAAGGTTCTCCGCTCGAGCACGGATTTAGCCGCTTAAGCGGACCCCTTTGGTCTGCAAAAGTACTGGTTACTACATTTCCACGCTCGAGCGTGACTCTTTCCACTCGAGCGGACATCAATGTCTGCAAAAGTTCTGGAAGCCAACATTTCACATTCGAGCAGTGCCTTCCCCGCTCGAGCAGACATGCCGAATTCTGAAATTTTCAGAATTGCATTTGAAGCTCAAACTTAGCATTCAAAGGGTCTAAAACTCATGTTCTTGATACAAAATTATGGAAGCTTTATACAATATGAGGCTATAAGAAAATTGAGTCTAATTTGTCCAAAATCATAATTCAATTCCTAAATTATTTCACATTTTTCTTGACAACCCATACCAACTTCATATCTTTAAAACTCATGCAAATTAATTTCCATATCACTTTGAATTTCACATGCAAATTAATTTCCATATCACTTTGAATTTCACATGCATGTGCGATAGGCTTCATTTTCAACTTAAATAACACAATTGATGCTCATCTTCATCAAACATGATCAATTTTAAATCAATTACAAAAAAACTCCTTTAATTTACGAATTAAGTTCTTTGTTCATAAACCCATAATTTTTCAAAGCTTAATTCTCATTACATCAAAACATGAAATCAATTATTTTAAATCCATAATGCATGTAAATTTATATCTCATATATATCAAGGTTTCCAAGCCCAAGCTCAATTGAAGAATTATAATTATTTGCATATTGATTAACTTAACCATGTTCATGAATTAATTCTTTAATTTCTCTAAATTACATGCATGTAAAAATAAGACTCAAATTCATATAAGATATGCAAAATCAAACCCAAAATAATTAATTTCTAGGTTAATTTCCATAAGTTTGAACCTAACTCCATTGCATGGACCAAATCTTCAAACAAATCTTGATGCATGTAATCTATGGGACTCAATTCAAGAAATCTATTATGCATGATGCATGTAAATGTAGACTTAAATACTCATAGAATTCCCTCATGCATGTAGCAATGGAGGTTGATTTCATGCAAGATTATAAAAATTAATCTCAAAATAATTACTTTCTAAATCAATTTCTATAATCATGAATCTAATTTAATTTCAATATCTTCTTACTAATTTCCTTTTAATTACATGAAATTGAGCCCAATTATTTCTTAAATCAAATTTTTACATGAATTTCTTGCAAGAATTAAGCTTAGATTCCTTACCTAGAACTTTAATTTGTTGAATCTCTTGAGTTCTTTCTTCAATTTTCCAGCACAAACTTGGATGATTCTTCTTCCCTTCTTGTTCTCTCTTTCTCCCTCTCGGTTCTCCTCCTTTTTTTGAGCTTCTCCAGCAGAAAGAAAATGAGTTCAACCTCACTCTCTCATATACACATAACACACATGCATACCTCTCCCTTCAACACGTGCACACACCTCACATATTGAGGCTCCAGCACAGCACAACACTTCACTAGGCACATACATACACAGATTTCTCAGTACACCCACCTAAAGTTGCTCAGCGCACCCACACCCACAATTCTAATTTGTTCCGTAATGCAATTTATACTTAGGATTAATTTAATTAAGTAGCACTTAATCTTAATAAATCTTAGCTAACACATAATTAATTAATCGTAACTAATCACAAATCCCACATAATTTAATTAGTCTAATTTGACTTCCTTAAGAGCCCAATTAATTATATTTAATTTATCAATCTAAATCAGATTTTTAGTCAAACTTATAAAAGGCTCCAAATATTAAATTAAACTTATTGTCATCATCAATTTTGATTTCTCAAATCATTTAGGCCTTTAATTTCTAATTAGACTCCAAATTTCCGTCAACAAATTACATATTTAAATTGGACATCCCATAAATAAATTTAACCCGTAATAATCACAATTCTCAATCCTCATAATTTAACTAACTTAATTAACTCCAATTCGGACCTAATTAATCGAATCTCAATTTTACTAAACTGAATCGAATATTTAATTAACTCCCAAATGAGTCCATAATTAAAATTAAATTGATTCAGCTTCTTAATTTCGCTTCCTTAAGCTATTTGGACCCTTAAAATAAATCTTCAATAGAATCATATACGAATCAGATTCCACAATTCTCACAAGTCCCAAATTAAATTAGGATAACGACTAATTAAAATTCCAAATCTCCTTAATTGACTAATTAAAATCTCAAATCTCTTTAATTAATTAAATATAAAACATTATACACGGGATCATCACAATTAGTTTTGATGATCTCATCGCATACGTGTTCTTTTGTTTTGCTTGACTGGATATGGGTTGATGTTGTCATCGCATACGACCAAATACTAATAAACAACTATATATATTTGACAGGGCCCAGTGTTGCACTGCACCCATCCAAAACAGATCAAGCTAAAATCAACTACCAAAACCAACTATAAATATCCTCCAAACCCATACCCTCCACAGCATATACAAAGCCACCATTTTTACATTTTTGCAAATACCATATTCATATAAAATGGAACAAGCAAAGAGGTACTAATACCATATCTCATATGACCATGTTATTCACTCTTGTGAAGTCTTCAACTACATGTTTTGATTGATTCTTAATTTTCTTCACTTTCACATCTTTATTTTTTATTCAGGATTGCTGTTGTCACTGGAGGAAACAAAGGAATTGGGCTAGAGATTTGCAGACAATTAGCTTCTAATGGGACAATGGTGATTTTAACAGCAAGAGATGAGAAACGTGGTCTCGAAACTGTGGAAAATCTCAAAGCTTGTGGGCTATCTCATATACTTTTTCACCAGCTTGAGGTGACAGACCAGGCCAGTATTGCTTCCATGGCTGATTTCATCAAAAATAAATTCGGGAAGCTTGACATATTGGTAAGATTTAAAGCTTATGTAACTTGTTTGGCTACATCTTTCATTTCTCATATGTTTTAGTGAGTGTCGCGCGCACTATGTTATAGTTTTTTAAATAATCCATTTAGAGTTTGGTTTTAATTTTTAGAAACTGTTTTTAGATAGATTTTCATTTATTTTTAGTGATTATTTCTTTTCATATTTTAGTCTTTTTTTTTTTTTTTTAATTTAGAACTTTTTAGATTCATCAAGACTAGATGCATTTAAAAAGTATAAAAAAAAAATTAACAAAAATATGAAAAAAAAATAATAAAACCAAACAAAAATCTAAATAAAAATGCACATATTTTTTTAATTTGAATTTTTGTTGTTTTTAGCAATTTATTTTTATGTTTTAGTCAATTTGTTTTCTTTTTTTGAAGCATCTAAATTAGGTGCACTTAAGAAGTTAAAAAAAATGACTAAATTGTGGGGAAAAAAATGACTAAAAACAAATAAAAACTCATTTAAGAATAGTTTTTGAAATTTGAATCGAATCGGGTCTGGCTCTGGTCCAGACTAACACCTAAAACCGATTTAATTGGAAAGGGCCTACCTCGTGAAAATTGGGAAATACTGGCCTAACCCCCAAAATTGGTTTCTCACTATTTACACCAAGGGAGGCCATGTTTGTTTGGGTAGATGTGACTTTGGAATTGAACTAACAATCTTGCAAAATGCATTACCTAACATTTGACTAAGATAACTGAAATTTGGATTAATAGTTCATGCGGATATAATATCCTTCATATAGGGGGACTATTGAATCCCAACAGCAAGATGGGATACAAAGCATAAGTTTGGACTAAATAATTAAATTACAAAATTGATATAAGCCAATTCAAACGTCAATTGATGATCCTAAAACTAACAATCTTAAGCATGTTATTTTCATCTAATCTAGTTCATCAGAACAAACAAGGCCATTGGCCTATGGTGGTTGAGGCAATGATTATGTGAAATTCAATAGTTTCTATTAAATTTTAGAGTAAAATACAAATACACCTCTGAGATTTACTTAAAATACGAATTATTTCTTATGATTTTGAAAATTACAAACACCCTATTGTCAGAATTTTTCATTTAACAAAATTAATGGGAAAAATAAAATTTCTAACTACTCTCTTATACACAATTAAATTACCTAAATTATTAATTGAAATATATTTCTAACATCATTAAAACTGTTAATTGACTTGCTGAGTTATTAATAAAATGGGACATTTGTAATGTGATTAGAACCTTGAAGGGCACGAGATTTAATTTCTAAAACTATAGGGGGTAATATGTATTTTAAGCAAATCTCAAATAGTATTTTATAATTTATCCTAAATTTTAATAGACGGACTCAACACACATCAAGCAACAATATTTAACATTTTTTTTTTTCGCTTCTCTTTCTGTATACAACATGTTAAATTGAAATATAATTTTTTTTCTTCATATTTCCTGTCAATTTTGGAATAGCATATATAATTGAGTAAAAATTTGTGCAGGTGAATAATGCAGCAATTAGTGGAAGCATAATTGATGAGGAGGCTCAAATATATATATATATATATATATAACATAATGATTTATTTATTTTTTTTGGTTGACTACTTTTGTATAACAACATTTCAATTATATTTCAGGTTGTTTTAAATGAAAAAGCCAAGAAGGAGTTAAGCGATACTGATAGTCTCACAGAAGAGAAAGTGGAGGAGGTGCTTAAGAGATATCTTGAGGATTTGAAGGAGGATTTGTTGGAAACCAAAGGATGGCCTGTTAATTTTTCGGCTTACATAATGTCCAAGGCAGCTCTCAATGCATACACGAGAGTTTTGGCAAAGAAGTATCCTAATATTGCTATAAATGCAGTGAGTCCTGGCTTTGTCAAAACAGACCTCAACCATCATAGAGGGATCTTGACTGTTGAACAAGGTGCAAAAGGGCCCGTGATGCTGGCTTTGCTGCCTAACGGTGGGCCGTCTGGCTTGTTCTACGATCAGATGGAAGTATCAACTTTTTGAACAAGAGAAATTACATATTTATGTCACCTCCTATATGTATCAATACAATGAACACTCTGAGTGTACGTAGGACTCACAATAGTACATGTGAAAAGCCACACAAAAGGGTTGGAAAATTTTTGGTAAGCCATGCTTAATATAATTTAGGAAGTTCAAAATTAACTGGTAATGTATGTATGCATGAAAGAGAGAAGAATAGTATAGCTTCTCTTCTTCTATGTTATAGATGTTTTGGCTAATAAAGGTGTGTGCGACTCCAATATCAATTTTGTACTTTTTTTTTGGATTGGCAGTGGAATTAAAATTGTATTGATAATGTACAACCTAAATAGAGAGGACTCCCAATCCTTTAGTTGTATTTGGTTGGAAGATTTGCGTAGGAATTTGCAAAGGAAGAGAGAAAATATAAATGAAATGAGAATAAAATACCAACATTTCACCTAATTTCACACACATTTTTCTTTTCCATTTCCAAATCTCTTCCTGTTGGTGAAAATACCAGAAACTAAACTATATTATTGATAAATGATACAAAGAAAATGAGATACAAATAGATCAGGCTGAGGCACGGATATCTCGTTTTCTTTAAGGAGATCAAGCCCACTGTGGTAGGAAGAACCCCAATACCAATGCAGCAGTCACAAAACTAGGACTTGTCCCCTCCAAGATACAACAGCCCGACCACTTCTCGTATGGTTCAGGCCAACTCTGCACAAGATGGTGAATCCAAAGCTCCACCAATAAAACACCCTTCTTTGCTAGTAATCTCTCTTGTATAGAAAATAGTTGATCTATATAGATAGAAAAGAGTAGACTATTTATAGGCTATTAGGACCTTACAATTACACCAAAAATAATGACCATTAAATCAGAAAATAGTTACACCAAAATAATGACCATTAACCAAGTTCCATGAATTCTATTTAACCTCCATTTATGACCAAGAGGTTACCAAAGTAATGAAACCCCATTTATGAAAAAGATAAATCACTAAATAAATATAAGATATTAAAATGGTCCAACAATCCCCCACTCATTTTAATATCATCAAGGATAAAAGAGATTACCAAACAAAGATAGACTAGTATGCATCATGAAGGTCTACTCTGCATTAAACCTTCATTATTGAAACCGCAACCTCTACTCCAGAGTTAGTAGCGGTCTCAGACTTGAACTATGACTGCTTAGGGGAAATAAAGAATTACTGCTCACACATAATAATCCAGGTGTTGACATGAGCTTTAATAGCTAGCACATTACGGCCTTGTGCTTATCCCAGTTTTCATGAGCATATTTGAGAATAAGCATTGTTCTTATTGAAAGCGGCCCCACTTTCATGCTCACATAAGTGAAATCTGTTAAGGATGTTCCTGTAATTTACACACCCCACTCAACAAGAGCTACAGAATTTCATTAAGAGTATAAAAACTCAACCCTCCAACATTACAGGACAAATGCACTTACATCATAGGGATGGATAACAAAATATTAAGGAGTGCATTTTTTACAACCACCATATGATTCGTTCTTTCCATTGAACCTAGTTACAGGATCTCTGGTCTCTAGGTTTGGTATCCTCATACATGGTTTATGATTTTATAGGCTTCAAACCCATCCCCCTCGATATATTCCAGACCGTATCTCTCACCAAGGCCTTGGTTAACGAATCCGCAAGATTATCACAAGATCTTACATAATTCACAGTTATGATGCCATTACTCAAATAGGATATTACATTACTGTGTTTCATTCTAATAGGTCTGGATTTACCATTATAAAAATGATTGTTCACTCTACTAATAGCAGCAGTGCTATCACAACGAATTAACACAGGAGGAATTGGTTTTTCCCAAAAAGGAATTTCATGTAACAAATCTCTCAACCAATTCGCTTCCTCTCATGCTAAAGCTAACGCTATAAGCTCAGCTTCCATTGTAGAATTAGCAATTATCGTCTGTTTTTTAGACTTCCAACATATAACACCACCACCCAAGGTAAAAATAAAACCCGAGGTAGAGAGAGAATCACCTGACAAAGTGTTTCAATTGGCATCACTATATCCCTCAAGTACCGCAGGATACTTATTATAAAACAAACAATAATTTTTGGTACCAGATAAATACCTCATAATTCTTCCCATAGCTAGCCAATGATCTCAACTTGGCTTGCTAGTAAACCTGCTAAGTACTCCAACAGCATATGCAATGTCAGGTCTAAAGGAAATTATTGTTCCTGTGTTTTGAGAAAATAGGCCTAATGATGTGAATGAGTATTTTTGAATTATTTTCCTACAAAACTAAGCTTACTAATTTCTCAATTGTTGTGTTCGTCTAAATAGCACTTTGATACTTATGTTAATAACCATTTGAAGGATTGTGAGAATACATACATAATACCCTTATCACACTTGAAGGTTTTTTTTTCTTTTAATTTTTAATTTTTTATGACTATAATTGCCTATTAAGTGTTTCCTATCTTGAACATTTTTTGATTTGGATTAAGTTCAACAAAGGTAACATTTTTTTTTAATCCAACTTGATTAGTTTAGTTTTTTTTTTTTTTTTTTTTTATCAAAA